AAGCCCCCCAGCAGGTACCTCGGTGGGTGTCTTCAGGAGCGGCAGTGCATTTTCTCACAGTTCTGGAGGTGGGCACTTCCTGCTCACGCTGCTGGCCAGCGGGGTCCCGCCTTCCTGGTGGCCTTCTGGCCGTGTCCTGTGGCAGAGGGAGAGAGAGAGAGAATCTCGCGTCTCTTCTTACGGGGGCAACATTTCTGTTGGATCGGGGTCACGCCCTGTGACCTCATGTAACCTTAATTATCTCCATGAAATCTCTGCCTCCAAAGGGAGTCACCCTGGGGGTTAAATTTTAGGGGCACGCGTGTCGATTCGGAGGAACGGAAACATCAATCCCGTCAGGGGCGGCAGGGCCTGCTAACCTCCCGTTTTCTGACCGGTTCTTGGCTCTGCTTCGGGTCTGAGCACCGTCCTGATCTGTGGGGCCGCGCAGGCTGGGGCATGGGTTCCACGGCCGGGTCTCAGTGTGACCTTCACCACCAGCTCTGGGCACCGGCCGTGCCGAAGCGGGCCCGTCCCTGAGCTGCACGGCCCCGTGTCTGAGAAAAATCCGCCTCCTCCAGCTTTCTGGGCCTCCGTGGCACAGGGTGTGCCCGAGGCCGCTGGGCTTGGCTCCCTCGTGCACACAGCTTGGGAGCACCCGGAAACTTAGTACTGTGTGGCCGGGCAGCGGGAGTCAGGTTCCAGAGGCCAGGAGGCCCCGCGGCGAGCCCCAGCTCCCTCTGCCAAGCCCCACCTGCTGGGGATTTGTCCCCTGGCTCACTCGACAGGGGCGCCCAGTGCCAGGTCATCCCCGGACTCGTCCTGGGGGCTCTGCCTGTCGAGGGGTCTCCTTTCCACCCCTGCCACAGCCCCCTGGGCCCTCCTTGTGGCCGTGGTACCGGTCCTGTGGGCCGCCCTGCCCTGGGCTCCAAGACCCTGTCTCTGGGCACCTGTCCCACCTGCCAGGAAGGCCTTCTGGCTCCTGTTACGAGTCCCAAGTAGGGAGAGGGCTGGGAGGTGTGCACACAGAGAGCCCAGGAACCGGGCTGGGTCAGGTCGTGCTCGGAAACCTCTGGGTGGTGCCGGTGGCTCAGTCAGTCATAGTGGCTCAGGTGTGGCAGGCAGGGCCGTGGGGGGTCAGTGAAGAGTAAGGTGGCTGGGTGGGGGAGGGGCTTAAGGGCTGACGGACATCAGACAGCGGCTGCCATGCAGGCCTTGGTCTGGCCCAGGTCCCACATCACTGCCACTCCTCGGTGCATGTGGCAGGCAGGTGCTGCCAGGGGACCGAGCCCTCACTGCCACCCTGGTGTCCTCCCCTAGGCTCACTTCCCTAGTGCTGGTTTGGGCCTGATGGGACCCTGGGCAGGGGCTCCCCAGCCGTATGCCTCACGGGAGGAAGTCGGGTCTCTCACGAGGGCGGTGTTCTGGATTTCTCAAGCACACTGCTCCTGGCAGACAGCGTGGTCCTGGCGTCCTCGGAGCCCTGAGGCCAGGCACCCGGTCTGTGGGGATGCCGTGTCCGCCCCTCCATGCCGCCAGGCCTACCGCTCCCCCTCCCACGGGCGACGAAAAACGGCCCGGGGTGGGCAGGGGCTGCGCGGGTCCGACAGGGGCTGCGGGCCAGGCCTGTGGGCTGTGCTGGCCACCCGGCCCCTGGCCTGACCGACAGGGTAGTGGAAGTGTCTGGGTCTCCACTACCCATAGCCGGCCCACCGCCTCCTCCAGGGAGCCTCCCAGTCTGCTTGGCCTCTGAACCCCGAACACCCGGGCTCTCAGCGGGGCCCAGTGGTTTGCACTGCGGGCTGGATGGCGCTGGGTAGGTCTGCAGTCCCTGTCTGCACCCAGTCCCCAGACAGGCTGGGGATGTGGAGCCAGAAACACACCCGCGTCCCGGGCACCCTGTGTATGGACTGAGGAGCAGAGCCAGGCCCGTGAACACCGCAGGAACAGTGTTGCCCTCTCACAGTCCCTGCTTCCGGAACACAGAGCAGAGGAGGGTCCTGGGGCCTCCCTGGAGGAGGTGGTCACGTGATATCCCTGCTCTGCGCCTGCTCAGGCCCCTCAGCCGGGTCACCCTCCTGGGCTGACCTGGGCTCCTGTCTGTGTGTCCCCAGCCATCAACTCTTGTGCCCTGGGGAATGGCGGCTGCCAGCACGAGTGTGTCCAGCTCACGGTGACCCAGCATCGCTGCCAGTGCCGCCCCGACTTCCAGCTCCAGGAGGACGGGAAACGCTGTGTCCGTGAGTGTGCCGCCAGCCCTCGGGAGAGAGGCTGGACCCCACCGGGGCTCCCATAACCCACAGAGCCACCCAGGGACCCGAAGCCCGAGCCCAGGGCGGGTGCAGGGGCAGATGCTGGGGGGCTGGGGCTGGAAGGGGGCCTCAGCGGAGGCAACGAGGCATCGTCCAGCCCCTGGTGGGCACTGGAGAGGAAGCCCCTCAGGCTGTGCTCTGGGAGCACGGGGGAGGGA